ACGTTAAACAAATTGCATACATTTCCAAAAACATTGCAACCTATTTTACATTTAAAAGAAAACAAAAACTAAAGATATAACAATTTTAAAATGATTTGATATCATTAATTAAATATCCTAATAAATGAGAACAAAACAATTTCTAATCGATGAAAATACACACATAAATGAATAAATCAACCAACACGTCGCAAACAGCTTAATGCAAGAGTTTAATTGTATTTAATTTGTTGATAATATTGTTTGGACGTTGACTCAATTGTGGATATCTGTCAGAGAAAATTGTGACGTTCAATATTCTTCTTGGTTATTCTCGTTTTCAAAGCATATTGTCTTTCTTTCAATCGTTAAAATACACGTATCCTTCTTCTTCTTCTTCTTCTTCTTCTTCTTATTCTTATCATCTCTATCATACTCCTTGTAGAAGGAAATTGGTGCGACCCAATACTAATGGATAATGGAATTATTGGTTACGGTTGGGGCTTGCCCTGGGGATGATCGTAATTCAATTGCTTCGATGTGTCCTCTGGACGTTTTGACGGGACGGATGTCCTAACAAGGACATTGCCTCAGGATATCTTTGCGATTGTGGTACTCTATGTTATCGGTATATCTTTTCTATTCTATGAAGACATTGTTGGGAATGTTAGATACGTTAGAGGAGAGGGTCTACAAATTCTACTTTTTTTTATACGAAAATCATTGATCATATAAAAAAATATAAAACAACAAATATACATCAATCTTGACAAATTCAGTGTACTGTGGTTTGTACACACCTAAGCTTGTTTTTAATTTTATTATTGAATTATTTAAATTATTAAAACGTTTAATTTTGTTTTTCCAAGTTAGAAAATTAAATCAATTGAAATATTTCAGTATTATTATATCCTATGTCAAAGAACTTTTTAATTTCATCGATACATTTAATATTTACTTTGTTAAGCTTCTTTTTTTAGATTTCTTTTGGAATGATTTAAGTTCTTTTTATCTGTATTATATTGTAGTTAAGAAAAAATATCTAAAGATTATAATATTTTTTTTTTTTCTTGAACATCTTAACTCTCATTTGTAGAATTTTTTAATTTATGATAAATGAAGTTATAAATATGAAGAAATTTGTAATAACAAAAAAGAAAAATAGATTTGATTTTGATGTTTTGTGTTGGTTTGTGGGATCATAATAAGGAAAATTAATATGTTTGATATTTTTTGGGGGGAATATTCCTCATACGCGAATGGAAATGATGACTTTTTTGTTTCTCCTTTTCCTTCATTTTCTGGTCTACACACGTTAAGGGAGAAGTGATCGAGACATTACGGATGTATGGACCAATTTGTAAGCAATCCAACTTACATTCGTCGGGTAATGTTGGATTTTTATGTTATCTTTTCTTCACGACCATTCGTGGTATCGACTGACTCACTTATTTCTCTTCATATATATATATATATATATA